TCTCATGTGGCGCTAGTGTTAAAGAACCTGCCTGCCAATGCAGGAAACATAAAAAGAGACGGGTTCCATACCTGGGTTGGGAAGATGCCCCGGAGGAGGGCATGGCAATCCACTCCAGTATTCTTTGTCTGGAGAATTCCATGGACAGAGGAGCCTGGCAGGCTACAGTCCATAGGGTCACACAGAGTTGGACATGACTGAAGCGACTTGGCATGCATGCACGTATGCAGGGTTTTACTAAGGATTAAATGAGATAACCTAAACAATGTATTGCTAAATATAAAAATTACTTATCATATTATTATTATTAGATGCATCAATTCATTTAGTTAACATGCATCTACTGTGTGCCAGAAACTGTACTATGCCTGGGATGTTACACAGCATGAGATAAACAGAGAGTATCCCACCTATCATGAAGCTGATCAGACACCAATTAGACATTCGAACAGAGATGTTAAGGAGGCAGTTGTCAGACTGGATTTCAGAGCATGAGTCTACATGAAAGGAATACATTTGCAAGTTATTAGTATTTAGGGAGCATTTAAAGGTCTGAGTCTGATTTATCTCACCTAGGGAGTACTCATAAAATGAGACAAGTAGAGGCCCAAAGATTGGGATATGAGGCATTCTAAAATTTAGAGGTGAAACAGATAAAAGAGGAACAAGCAATGAGGCTGAGAAACAGCAACCAGTAATGTAGAAAAGAAATAAAAAGGGGTTTGGGAAATGAGAGAAACAGGTGAGGGAGATTAAGAGGTACTTACTTTCAGTATATAGTAGTATGGTGGTTTAGTTGGGTTCAACTCTTGCGATGCCATGGACTGCAGCCCACCAGGCTCCTCTGCCCGTGGGATTCTCCAGGCAAGAACGCTGGAGTGGGTTGCCATTTCCTTCTTCAGGGGATGTCATGGATATAAAATGTACAGTGTGGGACATGTAGTCAATAATTGTGTAATATCTTCATATGGTGAGAAATAGTAACTATTCTGACCGTGATGATCATTTTGAAATGTATAGAAATATTGAATCACTATGTTGCAACAGGAACTATCATAGCCTTGTAGGTCAATTATACCTCAGAAACAAACAAGCACACGAACACATTCAAAGAAAAACAGATCAGATTTGTGGTTACCAGATGTTGGGGATGGGGAAAGGGAATCAGACGAAGGTAGCCTAAATATACAAATTTCAGCCACAAGATAAATAAGTACTAGAAAGGTAATGTACAACATGGTAAATATAATTAACACTACTGTACATGGTATATGAAAGTTAAGACAGTAAATCCTAAGAGCTTTCACCACAAGGAAAAAATAAATTTTTTCTTTCCGTTTGCATCTATGAGATAATAGATGTTCGTTCACTAAATTTATTGTGGTAATCATTTTATGACATATGGAAATAAAATCATTATGGTGTACACCCTTAAACTTATATAGTGCTGTATGTCAATTAGGTCTCAATAAAACTAGGAAAAAAAAAGAAATTACAGCCAGTGGTACCCTGATAACCAAATGTGAAAAGTTTTTGAGAAAGTGAGAGGCATAAATTGTAACTTATAAGTTGATTCACATATTGAGAACTGACCATTGATATGGTAACAAGGAGGTTATTGTCAGAATAGAATGGGTTCAAGGCAGGATGAGGGAAGAGGATGTTTTTGGTGTAAAAGCAGAAAAATAGGACAAGAGTAAGTGGGAAGTGTGACAAGGGAGAATTTGCACATACCTATATCTGTATCTATGTATAGATGTCTTATGTACATATCTTACGTGAGATAGTCTACATATAGGTATTGACACATAATGGGTAGATAGATGGATGGGGTATATTTTATACTCTATGCATACAACTGGTGCATATTTTACACCTCATTCATAAAATATAAAATGTTAGCTCTATTCTGTTAGTTTGCTGATTGATGGGAATGTTCCATCAGTGCTGAGCTTGGGTGAGACCCCCACTATTGGGATAAAATCTCTATCTTGAGATGTGAGGGAGAATGACTGCTTCTTTCAGACAGTCCTCCTTAACACAGTATTAACCAGAGACATATTAAAACATCTTTTGTTACCAGAACTTTATTGACCAGAGAGGTATTAATATCACTTACATAACAAATCGCCAGCCACAGGTGTTAGTTTCTGCAAATATCCTACAGTCAATAATGAGTTAAGAGAAGAATGTTCAAACTGAGTGAATATGCCCAATTATTCTCTCCAAACTTATTTATTCAATTCATGACAGCTTCCCGGAATTGACTGAACGAATGGCAAGAGAGAGGGGCTGAAGGGGCAGAGGCAGGTTTTGGCTACAGTAAGAAAGTTAAGGACATATGTAGAGAAGAAGTTGAAAAAGTGGCAATTTTGCTGAAAAAGATCACAATTTCTAGAGCACACCATGGAAAGATTTTGGGAGACGGTCAGACTAGGGTGTGTGTAACATAGTTTGGGCTAGGAATCTCTGCCCTGTATTATTCAGAATAGAGGGTAGGTTGAAAAAATACATGTTCCCTGGTTAAAACCTGACAGGAGCCAGGTGGGACTGAGGAAATGCACTTGAGGACACCGTCCTGGGTTTATTTTGACGGGCTCTCCTGACCAGCTGTAAGTTTCTTATCTAGGATGTTAGGAAGAGGCTAGCTTATTTTCTGTTTCTCCCCCACACCTGGCCCAGCTGTGGAAGGAAAACTTCAGATATTTTTAACTTCACGACCCTGCCCCTGAAAGCCAGACACACAACTTTCTTTACTATAATTGGGACAAAAATGATTTTTCTTCTTAATGTCACTCTAATCCTCACAGAAGAACTAGTGACAGCAACCTGAAGAATATGGGGAAATCATCACACCGTCCTCATTCTTTGAAAACTGCGGGAGGGTGAGAGTTAAGTCGGTGACAGGTCCTCTGAGCATCTCCTGTCTAAAAGAGAAACCAGATATTGAGACTATACCTTCATTGTAACAGGTGGCAAAATGTGCACTTCGAGTTGGCAGTCTCCGAATCGTTTCGCATTTCTCTAACTTAGAAGGAAGCTGTGAAATTTGCAGGCAAACGGGCTGAATGACTCATTTGATCCTGGACATTTCCTTCACTCCTAGGATGTCTCAGATCCCTCTACTCCCGTTTTTAAAGCATAACGATAATCAGTCATCTGCTACCCTCGCACTGTCAGCGCAGTCACCGGGCACGTGACCAAACCGGCCCGCCGCAAGGGGCTACCTCCATTCCTGCATGCCTCCATCCATCCATCCACCCACCCACTCATCGCCCTTTCTGTTCTCCGGCTTAACACTCCCATCTCCAGGCCTTCAGCGGCGCGCACACCGGCGAGTCGGGTGTGCAAGGGTTGCACGCGCTTGGGGGCAGGGCGGCCGCTGTCTCGGCCCGAGACGGTGGGGCGGCAGAGGAGACGGGGCAGCGAGGCCGCGCGGAGCCGAGCGCCCCCAACCCCGCCCGGCTCCCCTCCCCGAGCCGGCACCTAGGGACGCCGGGTCCCACGTGACAGTCCCCTCCTCCCTCCCCAGTCGCGCGCACGGGCCGGGCATCTCGGTCCCGCGCGCGCTCGTGGTCCCGGAGCCCGGGAGCCAAGCGAAGGAGGGAGCGGTGGAGCGCGGGCCGTCAGAGCCCTGTGCCCGCGCGGAGGTGATGAAGCTGGCCGCGCGCTGACACCGCCGCACCCAGCCGCCGGGAAGCAGGCGCCTCGGGCCGCGACCTTGAGGAGGAGGTACGAGGCTGGGCACGGGGATGGGGGTGGGCTGGGGTGGGGGCGGAGGTCGGAGGCGGTGCCCCGGAGCCCCGCGCCCGGGTCCGCGCGGCTGACACCGCCGCCGGCCCGGCTCCAGTGCGCGGCTCGGGCTCGCCTGCCATTTGCTGCCGCCGCAGGCGAACCGGGCTTGCTTGTTTTCCCCTCTCTCCGCCTGGTCGCTCCGCGGCTTCCGCAGTTGGCGCTGCTCACGGTGACCCAGGTAATTGCCTGAAGGGCCGACCTCCCACCTGGTCTTGTGGCCAGGACACCTTCTCTGCCTTCTGGCCGCGGTTGGGCAGGGTTACGCCGCGACTTCCGAAGCCGAGTTGGGCCGAGGGGAGAGGAAGCAGTGGCCGGGCAGTGCAGGCAGGTGAAAGTCGAGGAAGCTGCCTTGACTCTGTGCGGGAGACCTAGGGGAATGAAGAGGAAACACATGACTGGAGAATGGCTCGGGAATGGGCCTCTGATGCGCTTGCATGCGGGGAAACTAGACAGACACCTGGAAGAAAGTGCTGCTACAGGGTGTTGCCTTTTTAGCCATTCGGGGAGGGAGGGGGGGAAACACCATCCGGTGGAGATGCAAGTATTGGGAGAGAAGAGAACTCTGTAGGATGGAAATGGTAACCGTGATTTTTTTTTCCCAGTGAGCCTCAAACACTTTTAAAAAATGAGTACCCAGAAAATCAAGTCAATTAAAACCCTAGTCAAATGACAATTTTAACTAAAAGATTGTCATTTCTTACAATTTTCTGGGAATACTGTAGGTGTAAATTTTTTTTTTTTTTTGAATCTATTTCTGTGCTACTTTCTACAAGCCAGCACCAGCATGCAAGCATGCTCCAATGTTGGATGGGGGGGATGAATCAAAAGTCAACCTTCTTGGATAGTTAGGAAGTTTGGGATGGTCATGTACACACTGCTGTATTTAAAATGGATAACCAACAAGGACCTACTGTATAGCACATGGAACTCTGCTTAATGTTATGTGCCTGCCTGGATCGGAGGGGTACTTGGGGGAGAATGGGTACACGTATATATATGTATGAATAGCTTCACTGTTCACCTTGTAACTACCACAACATGGTTAGTCCGCTGTACTCCCATACAAAGTAAAAAGTTTAAACTTTGGGAAAATAAGAGTCAGGCTTCTTAAGTACTACTATTAAGAACTCACTGAAGTCTCTCTATCTCTTGCAGGGTAGACTGATAATTCCTGTATCTGAGAGTGGACCACGGTGTGTGGTGACATGGCCCACGGGAATAATTATGGACAGCCCAGCAATGGGGTGGCAGATGAATCACCCAACATGCTGGTGTACAGAAAGGTAAGAATTTCTTTACTTTCCTGGAAGAAGGGAAACTTCTGGCTTCTTTGAATTTTTCTTTTCCCCCTCAGATCGGAGTATTTATCAATTTTGTGACCTTAGGGATTCTCCAAATCCCCAATGACTGCAGACTATACTTGAGGATGAGTTGACATTCTCAAGTAAAGCATATGTGTAGAGACATAGCGAAGTAAATGAGGCTACTGATACTATGTTCTCACACTTTCCCTGTGGATCCTACATGGATGAAGCTGTAGTCAGCAGCAGCAGCAGCAAATTTGGACATCCCGCATATTTTGTTTGTTACATACAGGATTTTATAGCATCTGTAGTAATTTTTAAAAGCTTTTTCTAATACTCCTCTTAAGCATTTAGGTTGTAATGATCATACAGCTGTATAACATTTTAGAAATAAATGAAGACTACATTGCATTCCTGGGGCAAGAGTGAATGTGGCTATGTATGTATGGGTTGTTTAATAATTTTGCTTCTAACTAAATAATTCCAGTTTTTTAAAAAAAATCTTAGCTTAAGATATTTTTTACTTTGTGTTATTTTTATAATTTTACTTATGGGTATTTATGTTCTAGTGCCATATGCCCATTAAATAAATCTTTGTATTTTAGAAGTTTTTTTTTTTTCTCCAAACTGATCTGACAGCTTTTATAATGATGCTGTCAACACCAAACTTCTAGATATTGAGCCACCATAATAAAGATGTATTTGAATATTGTATGTGCTTCAGAGTGGTTGCTTAGGTAAATTCTTTTTGGTTAGACTCAATAATCTTACTAAAATTAAGGAAGCAGCATTCTTCATTTAAATTCTGGTACAGAAGTTACTGCATTTTCTGGGGGATTATTTTTCTTTAGCATATTATCTGTAGTGCTTATTGGGGTAGGATTTCTTTAGTTAACACTTGCAGTGGTAAAAAGGAAATTAGGCCTGGAAACCAAGAAAACTGTTAAAGATTTTAATTAGTGTGAGCCCACTGAAGAGTCTAGGATGAGTTTGCTAGGGGATCAGAACTGGTTATGGAGAAGGATGAAACGCTTTCCACCTTGACCTGTACTAAATCCAAACTTTCCTTCAGTGTGGCCCAGTGTCATTAAGAGGTGCTGATGATACGTGTTTGCGGAAATCTTGTTATTGTTTCGATGTGAAAATGCATGGATATGATGGTGGTGCTAGCCTTGTAGACTATAGTATGTTGTGTACCTGTGAATACAGGGGTATGTGTGTGTGTATGTGTGTGTGTGTGTGTGTGTGTGTGTGTGACAGCACAGTAAAACTTTTTCTTCACAGGGAAAAAAAAAGCCTATTTTAGTTTTAAAGCATCCTGACTGGATAAATCAAGGAAATAATCCACTTGAGCTTAAATTATTACTAGTCTGTTCCTATGCTGATTGAAATTATTGGATATTTGCCCATTCTATATAGATTCATTTAGGAGAAGACCTATTTTGGGGCAAGTTATGTGTTTTTAAAGAAGTTGTAATATTCCTTATTTTTTGTATGACTTTGAATATGGTAATGTGAAAGATATGAGAATTGTAGATTCTATCTTATAGGTTTGTGTAGTGTTGAGAGTTGGACTTTTGTAAAATTATCAAGTTAGCTATTTTAGTTAGGTCAAACATTGTATTTCCGTTTCCCTATAAATGATCCGAGGCTAAATTGATTGGACATCTAACAGTTAATCTTGATTAGAAATAAACTTAATATGACATCAGTCTGTGTGTCTCATTTAGTCAGTATCAGAATAAGTGAACACTGAGGCTAGGAGTTTTATAGATAGTTATTGGATTATTTAGTGTACCTAAGGTTCATACTGCTAATTTTGAAACACTAAGTTGTTGTTTAGTATCAAATTGTCATTATGGTTGCTTAAAAATGAACAGGCTATTATGACTTCATAGCCTTGGGAGAGAATGTAATTCTTTCTCATTCTTTTAAGCCTTGCTCTTCTGTTGGGTAAGCTTGGAACTGCTTGTGCTGCTTCTTTTGCCCTCCTTTGTTTAGGGTAGTGACACATATAATTAATTTCTAGAAAAGATTTCCCTGAGAAATCCTTGTTAGAAAAATGTAACTCCAGTACATTTTATTCATAATGCTGAATTATGGATTGCTTGTCTATCCTTTTATTCTCTGAATGTGTATTTTTTTGTTTTTGTTTGTGACACACAAAATAATATTAATACATAAATACAAGATAATTTATATAAAGAAGTACAGTGTTCTTGGTTATCATTTGCTGGTTACCAAGTCACATGGTCTGTCTCTGTAGGCAGATATACATCATGACATCATGTGACCATTTTACTTCTGCTTTTTGTATCTTATGTGAATTTTGACATTTAATATCTTCTCGGTAGAGACAAAATTTTAATGTGAAGAATAGCAGAGTAGTTGAAGGAGAGTTTTAGGTTAACTTCGTATATTAGAATATTTCAACTGGTGGACTTGCATAAAAGAATAAGTGACATGTTACAAATGCTTAATCAAAGATAAGGAAAGAATTTCAACCTCACAGTGCCTTGCTTAGCATCAGTGAGGAGAATGCTTGGAGAAATTGTTGTTTTATTGATTTATGCCAGTTTTCCACTTGTGGTTAATTGTGGAAACATGGCTTTTAAAGTGGGCTCTGAACTAGAAATGTTCATGGTATTCTCACTATTCCCCTCCCTGCAAGCCACTCAGGATTCAGATGGCTTATACCTACCAAAGATATGCATGTGCTAATTCCGTGTTCTCTCGGTAAGTTATGCATGAGGCTTAGGAACATCCTTGTGTGGGACAGGAAACAGTGAATGGTTGTCAAAGTGGAATACACAGAAAAGAGCTGGGGTTTGTGAATTTCTTGTGTTGGTCTGATGCCACTCCATTATGATTGCCCTCACATGGATTATTGTGATTCCTGCAAATAATGGGAAAATTCCAGGAATCTTTTTTCCATGGAGAATTCCTTTGTGATATTATGGGGAAAATGTACAATGGGTAGAACTATGATCTTCCAGGTAGAGTGAGTGCCACCATTGTAAAAGCTTTAGGCATTACTAACACTGTTACTGACCAGGGTTCTTGGATTTCTTAATGAACAGAAATTGATAAGATTCCAGATGAGAAATTCAGGGAAGGTTTTATTGGCTTTAAGGCTTTATTGCTTACTCCCCGAGGCAGAGCAAGGTGGCCCATTAAATGGGGTGAGGGAAAGGATGAATGTGTGGTTTGGGCTGGAGTGATGCCTTGGGTGGTCTGCCAGCCCCCTTGGTGGGGCTGTGTGCAGGGATCATGCTCAGTACCCGGGATGCCTCAGAAGTGGCAGCTGGGTTTTTGGTCTTTTTGTATCTTGTTCATAATTTGCCCAACTGCATATGTACGCAGTTATTTTTAGTGTCTTACAGTTTCTTTATATTCTGTTGCTTGAGATGAGCGGATGAGGACGTGTTCGTCCAGGTGCAAGCATTGCAGCGAAGGGTCCCAGGTCTTAGGCCCAGCCTGTCTCAACACTGCTTCATGATCAGGGTTGGTACCTGCAAATCAGTCTCAGATATTTGCTGCTGCCTTTTTGACTTAATGTGAGGACTCTCTGTAGGCTTCGTTTGATAGCAGAGGTACATTTAAAAAAATCCATATGGATAAAATATTATCCTTACCAATTTTTCAATTTATAATGTTGCTTTTTTCCACAAGCAAGTGATGAGACTAGAGTAGTTATATCATTTCATATATCTGAAAACATTCAAAAATGTATAAAATGTGAGGCTTAACCACTTTTAGTAGTGGGGCTTCCTAAGTTCCCTTCAGTAGGTGTTAACTAGAATGGAATAGAAATAAATCAACTTCCCAAAGAAGAGACCCACCTAGCTCCAGCTCACCCTGGACTCAGACTAGCTTCTTAAAATATATGTAGAGGTGACAACTCACGTGTCAAACACTGCTCTCTTTCTTGGTCTTCTCATTCCCTGGCTGTGAAGGACTGCTGAGCTAGGACCTGAGATTATAGAGAGACACATTCTAAGTTTGGTGTCTGGCCAGCCTGCTGCCCACTAGACAGCATACATCATTTTTCGTCCAGAAGCTGACATTCCTGCATTTGAAAAACAAAATATCTAGGGCACCTTGTGGGCCAGTATTTCAAATTGGCTGGCATGCTGGTTTCATACTAGCAAGAATGTTCTGAATGACCAATAATTTCTGGTATTATTGCAACAACCATTTATGCTCCAGCTGTCAGAAAAGAAAAGGAAAATATTTTTCTCATTCACTGTTTTATTGGAATGAACACATCTTTTGGAAATAGCAAACCTATAACGTTCATTATGCCTGTCCCCCCCGCAAGCGCCCTGACCGTTTTCCTCACCCATTCTCTCTTCCCCTCCTATCTCTTCATTGTCCATCTAGTCACTCTCTTTCCATTTGATTCTTCCTTTTAATTTTTCTTTCAAGAAAGACCTAAGGGAGAAGATATCATTTTCCCTAAGATGCTGCTTATTTTAATTGTGAACCAGAAAATTACGTTTTGGAGGTGAGAGCAGGTACCAGCCTTGTTTTGAGTACCTCTTGGGCATAGACACGCAGATGGGTGCTTTTAAACTTGGTATCATATTGTGGTTGTGGCAAAGGGTTAGTCTTGAAGGACTCAGTTTAGTTCAGTCGCTCAGTCGTGTCTGACTCTTTGTGACCTCGTGGACTGCAGCACGCTAGGCTTTCCTGTCCATCACCAACTCCCAGGGCTTGCTCAAACGCATGTGCATTGAGTTGGTGATACCATCCAACTATCTCACACTCTTTTGTCCTTTTCTCCTCCTGCCTTCAATCTTTCCCAGCATCAGGGTCTTTTCCAATGAGTCCGTTTTTAGCATCAGGTGGCCAAAGTACTGCAGCTTCAGCTTCAGCATCAGTCCTTCCAATGAATATTCAGGATTGATCTCCTTTAGGATTGCCTCATTTGATCTCCTTGCAGTCCAAGGGACTCTCAAGAGTCTTCAACACCACAG